CAAAGTCTTCATGAAGGTGCCACATCACTGCACTAGAATTAGAGTCTCAGAACTTATAAACTTCAGCCATTCCTACACAACCTTTATGATCTTACATATCCATTTACCATCCCAACTACTGCTCCCCTAAGATTTTTCTTAAAAGCTTAAAAAAAATCACATCCACTTTAAATATCACCCTAAGCGACATCATCCATGAAGTCATAGGTCTAATATGCTAGTTATGTTTTCATTAATACACATTAAAATATAGAATAAGCGAAAAGTATTCATCCAGCAAAAATCATCTCACGTACCATCAATAGTATAAAAAACACACCCTTGCATGCTCATTTCAGCAGCACATATACTAAGAATGTAACCAAAGCCACACTTCGGGAAAGTGATTTAGTCCCAAATCCTTTGTCGCAGCTAAGGAAACACTTAAAAGAGGGGCTATAGCTTGCCCAAGGACACACAGAACTGGTGGCAGAGTCTAGACTAGAATCTAGTACTTAGTCCAATGGTGGTCCACTAGAATAGAATCTCCAGATGGGTAAGCTACAAGGAGAATTAGACCTGGCCTTCGGGGACTTCCCCAAAAAGTGAACCTCAAGCAGTTGGTAAGCCCTTTGCCAGTGGATCCAGGTTTTTCATTTTCTCCGAGAAGCAACTATAACATGATACTTGCCAGCTGACTCTCAAAGATTGTCTGGACCGACTGAAATAAATCTGTTGTTTCCTTCCCAAAGTCTCATGCGGTTTTGCCCAACTCATTGAACCTCAAGGCATACTGCCAATGATAAAAATGTCTCCTGGATCAGTTTCCCATTTTCTTTTTTTTTTTGCGGTACACGGGCCTCTCACTGTTGTGGCCTCTCCCGTTGCGGAGCACAGGCTCCGGACGCGCAGGCTCAGCGGCCATGGCTCACGGGCCCAGCCGCTCCGCGGCATGTGGGATCTTCCCGGACCGGGGCACGAACCCGCGTCCCCTGCATCGGCAGGCGGACTCTCAACCACTGCGCCACCAGGGAAGCCCAGTTTCCCATTTTTTGATCCAACAATATTCTAGCCACTGAGCCCCTGTCCCCGTTGCTAGATTCATGCATGCTCTATATGGTTTCAGGAGGAAGATTTTCCATCTCTGGGTTTTAGGCCAGCTTTGGAAACAGGCTGGAAGTTTCCATTACAGAGTTACTCCTGTATTTCCCAGATACCCGGAGCAGGTTTTATTTTCGAGTGATAGATAACTTGTGTCTACTGTGTGCCTAGCAATGTTTTATACACTGTCCCATACTTCCCATATAAAAGAAGGTAAAATGATATAGTTCCTGGCCCTTTGGGAGCTGCCAATCCCTGTCAGCTTAGCTATATATGCATGTAGCTAATAATAACTAATGTTATTAAATGTTTATCTATATGCCAGGCAATGTGCCATGTCCTGCAAATGTACTGTCTTACTGACTCCTCACAACTACTTACTGTTATTATCCTCTCTTAATACATGAAAGAAACAAGGCTTAGAGATGTTAAGTGGCTCATCCAAGGTCAAGTGGCAAGCCGACGGTAAAGTTCAAATGCAAACCCAGACTCCAGGCTGAAGCTCTTAACCAGCGCACTATGAACACCTGAATCTTTGAAGTCACACTGAAAGGAAACGTGATTTCTGTATATCTGATTTCCTATAAGTGAGCTCCTTTCTTGCATTAGGGAGCTGTAGAGGTAGTGCACCTGTTAAATTCAATATATAACACATTCTAGGAGTGCCATTTCATACTGATTGAGGGAAGAGTTTGCTCCTTGTAATCTGAAGCTATGCAATTTGCACTCTCTTGACACACCCCCCAAAAAAACCTCCATCAAATTAACAGTAAATGCATAGTTACTTATCACCTAAATCAACTTTAGGTAACCTTATTCCTACTTATGGGATGCAAAACTGGAGTATTAATGTGATGTAATACAAAATATATTTGGTCTTTGTCCCCAGTTCCTACCAGAGCTCCTAAAACCCTTGAAATTTCCTTACTGATAGGCTCCTTTGTTTTTCATAAGGAGCAGGGTTTGGACCACATCTGAGTTTATGCTAAGAGGTGACTCAGGGTGGGCCCTTTTGATAGTTTTAAGAGAGATGCTGGCCACACTAGAAAGACCAGGCACATGACTGGAACTTTCAGGCCCACCTCCAGCCCATAAGGAAGGGAAGGGTAGTTGAAGTTTCATCACCAAAGGCCAATGCTTTTATCAATTTTGCCTACACAAAGGAACCTCAACTGAAATTGAAACAAGGCTAGGGGAGCTTCAGGGTTGGTGAACACATTGATGTGCTGGGAGGCTGGCATGCTCAGAGGGGACACGGAAGCTCTGTGCCCCCAATTCAAATCTTGCCCTATACATCTCTTCCATCTGGCTGTTCCTGAGTTATAACCTTTATAATGTAACTGTATTCATAAATATCATGTTTTATCAGCTCTATGAGTCATATGTTCTAGCAAATTATCGAACCTGGGGGAGGGTGGTCGTGGGAAATTTGTACTCTGCCAGGCAGAAGTGCAGGTAGGTAACTTGAGACCTGATACTTGGGGCTGGCACCTGAAGTGGGGCAATCTTGTGAGACTGAGTCATTAGCCTATGGGGTCTGCACAAACTCCAGGCAGTTTGTGTCAGAAGTGAATTGTTGGACACTCAGTGATGTCAGAGAATTGTTGCAGGAATGTCATAATTAACCTCAGAAAAAGAGGTCCACATTACAACCAACTTAACTGATGCTTACAAGGCACCTCCGTACTTGATCTAATCATTAAATCTATAGCTGTCACCAATTCAGAGTAGTGCTTGCTGTTTTCAGCACTAGAAGGAAATTTGGGCTTCTGTCAGATCCACAAGTACCTGGTAGAATAAAATTTCTTATACATGACTAAAGAATTAATTTGACCTGCTAAAGAGACCAGGGAATGTTGTAGAAATATGGAGTCAAAATGTATTTTCTTTAATTAATCATTTTAGTTGTGATTTATTTCCCATTTATTATAGTCCCTATAAAAGAATCATGAATTACCTCAATAGTTTATATGTAACTGTTCCCTTTGGATAACAGACATTGTTAAATGACAATCACCACCACCTAGTATTATGTACTTTAACTCAAACTCTAACAGACCCAGGGACATTACGTTCCCTCTTGTTTACCAACTTCTTATTTGTCAAAAGCAAAAGTCAAAAGAGCGATCTCAAAAAAGTTAGGCCAGTACTCCATAAGCAGTCAATCATGACCAACTAGTCAATCTTGAAGATCAATCTGGTCAAACCGGATACTGCATCCCTGCACTCAACCCTCCCCATCAGGAATACACTTTCCAGTCAGGGGAGAGAGTACTGTGGTCAGGGTCCCGGTCAGGGCCAATGAATTACTCAACTCCATAGGTCCCCCTCCCCCTCCCTGTGAATGGCGTTCCCTGGCACTGGGCAATCTTGTGGGCCTGCTCCTTCCTGACCCACTCTTCCCCCATCAAGTGCCATTGTCAGCAATTTCCACCCTTCCCCAGCTGGACCATCAATGGGCATTTCTCTTCACCCCGTACACACAGCCCACAATATCACCACCACCACCCTGCCCCGCAAAGGCCGGCTCCCTTACATGTTCTCCTCCCCACAATGGAACCCACCTATCTAAATGTCTCTAGAAAGGTCTTTAGACTTTTCTCTTTCATAAAATGTTAGTAAACCCCCAAGCAAAATTCTCCTACCATAGACATCAGCTATAACCAACTGTTTTGAGTAAATGACTAGACAAGTGACGAGTTATTTCAAAGATAAACTAATTTACTAGGAGAAAAAGAACCACAGAAACATTCTTTAAAATGAACACAGAACATTCACTACACATCACTCCTCACTTTTGAATTACACTCACTTAGAATAAAGAAAATATCACTACAACTGGGGAAAATGCCTCCTTTGAGGACCTGGAACTTCTAGCATGTCCACAATCCTGCCACCTAGAACCCATGCTGCCAGGGTCCCAGCACCCTCACTGCAGTGGTATTCCTCGCCTTCCCTTCCTATTTAAAGAGGAGTCACTAGGTAGTCATCAAGTAGATATAAAGTAAATGCTTAACTGAAAACAAATTTGCTTCACAGATTTTTTAGAAAAAAGAATATGGTGATTGTAGTTATTCCCACAGAGACATTCTAAAGCTTTTCTGTCAGTGGGTATACCTGGATTTTCCTTTTCAGATTCCAGGGCAGGTCACTGGAAATGGGAATATTCAGGTCAGCATTTTTTTTTTTTTTTTTTGGCGGTACGCAGGCCTCTCACTGTTGTGGCCTCTCCCGGTGCGGCGCACAGGCTCCGGACGCGCAGGCTCAGCAGCCATGGCTCACAGGCCCAGCTGCTCCGCGGCATGTGGGATCCTCCCGGATCGGGGCACGAACCCGTGTCCCCTGCATCTGCAGGCAGACTCTCAACCACTGCGCCACCAGGGAAGCCCGAGGTCAGCATTTTGCACAGGCATTCTGGACAGCATGCCACTAGCTTATCTTAAGAACTTAGAGTGATAAAGCCTCCACTTCTGTTTGAAAGTACTATCATCACTTTCAGAAATATTCTGAGGAGGAAAGGCCAGCTACTTACTAGTACTATTACCATCAATAACTTCACATATGTTTCAAAACTGGTTATAAGGATTTTTCTCTGAAAGAACAGTAGTGTGTGACAAAATGTTTGAGTAAAGAGCCAGTAATATAAAAGACCAAACACCAAGGATTCAATTAAACTCAAACTCCATTGAGTGCCTACAATGTCATATTTGAGGCAATGTAGTAAATGAGAAAACAAAATTAGTGCAGAGAAAGTCCTATTCTAGTCCTGTAGCTGCCAGTACCTTGCTCTGTAACTTTAAGCAAGTTTACTAACCTTTCTAGATTTCCATTTACCTACTGCTTTTTGATCTGTTTTCAGCCTCAAAACATTTTGACTGAAATCTTACGGGGAAACCCAATAGAACAGAATATCAAGGTACCTTCTGCAGAGTGAAGCATGGTGGGGGGGGCGGGGCAGTGAAGTAGAAGGAAGACAGTGAGATGAGGGGGCATACGCCAGAAATGATCCCTGAGAGGGCTCCACATAGCCCAGTTTGAAAGACTATCATGCCAGATATTCTAAGGTTCTTTGAGGATCTTCTTCCTGCTTCTTCCTTAACTGGAGAAAGAATTAAATGCATTCAATATAGTAAATGCTATGACTTGAGTCTTATTCAGAATCAAAATTACAGGTCACACACCAACCCACTTTAGGCAAACACTGCAGAATCCAAACCCTTCATCAACCAACAAGAGCTAAAAGCTATAAACAAACCCGGCGGTCTTGATATGGTGGAAGCAATCTACTACTAAAATAAGGAAAGCAAGTTTTTCCAACACACTGTGTCCTAGACTGACCAGCAGAGATTAGGGCAAAAATGAGAAGTCCTACACTATGCAGTGATGCTATCCAAGATCCTTGATCAGTCATCATATATCTGGTCTGGATCTCCAGGCCTCAGTGACAGAATTATTTCCAGTCCCCAGGTCCTGAGGCTGAGCCCTCCAGCAGAGCAGGGAGAACAGGAACATGGATTATGCTTCCCAGCACTATGCAACCTAAGCTTCCATGATGCAATTCAGCCTGAAACCCACCAACACAGCACGAGTCAAAGGACACTCCTGAGCAAGGACAAGCCATCGGGAAGTCAGGAGTCGTCAACATGATGCCTACTTTTTCGTGTAATCAGGTTGGTATCAGGGCACTGGCCATAGATGGCTTACTTTGCTACAAGGGCTAATCACCACCTCAAGATTCCTTGACTGAGCTTCCCTACTCTGATGTCTGGTATTTAAATAGTTTCATTTGCACACATCTTAAAGAAGAGGATTTGGCATTTCCCTCCTCCCATTTTCTCCTTTCTACATATCACAACTTCAAAGAATTAGAGTTTGAGCCACTTCCACTAAATTAATATGTTAAGTTCTTATTTGTAATCATTCACTAATCATTCACCTAGAAAAACAGATACAAGAACTAGTAAAACTAGATTTTAATTGAAAGACACTAACTGAATAAAACACCCTGGTCCATTGTGCAGAGAGCTTCAGAACACTGTTCCAACATTTAGGGAGAATTGATCCTGGTTCACTGGTATCAACATCTGTAAATAGACACAAAGAGGTAACTGTAAGTTATCAAGAACTGGGGAAATAGGAGTCACCACATAATTACCATTGTTTCAATCTGAGTTACCACATCTTCATCTTAAAACAACTGGCAGCCAGTGTACAATTAACTGTCCTTACTGTAAAGATATCAAAACAGTAGCAAAATCAGATTAATTTTAAGTCATCTAATGCAATGCATAACACCCACAACTCCAAAAGTAAGTGGAATCAACTCTTCTTTAAGAAGAGTTTGTCCAAAAGCCCTGGGAGTTTGAGAAACAAATCCACTAGTACCCTAGATTAAAAGGCCAGTTCAGGGGACTTCCCTGATGGCGCAGTGGTTAAGATGCCGTGCTCCCAATGCAGGGGGCCCGGGTTCAATTCCCTGATTAGGGAACTAGATCTCACATGTGTGTGACAACTAAGAGCTCGCATGCTGCAACGAAGGAGCCCGCGTGCCATAACAAAGGAGCCCACCTGGCGCAACCAAATAAATAGATGAATATTTTTAAATAAATAAATAAATAAATAAAAGGCCAGTTCAGCTCTGAGAATCTAAATTCATTTAGATTTGTGGATTCTTTCCCCAAACACAATTAGTGGCCAACGTAGGAGTTGATGGCTTCTCCCTGTATTCAAGTCCCCTCCTGCCCATCCGCCCCTTTCACAAATTAGAAAAGAGCCACCAGCCTCCAAATTGGCTGATGAAATTTCAGCCTACAGGATACTTTCATATTTGAGTTATAATAACTATTAAAATGAAGATGAACAGTGGACAGCTTAATAACAGCATTTAAAATCCAGCATTAGGATACAGAGGCCAAAATTCTTCAACCTAGGTCAAAATCATATACATATTATATATATTTTTTTTCAATTCTCAGTTTCTTAGAGTTACTCTGCAGTATAAAGGGTGGAGTCTATTGTTTGCCTGGTCCTAGCTGTTCACTTGCTTGCTAACTAAAAGACTTCCTATTTGCACTCAAGTTGGGATTCAGTAAGTCAGTACAGGCTCAACTCCATCCCCTTCATTACCCCAGGACTGCCCAGGAAACTATTCAAGTTATTTTTGATAATCTATCTACCCATGCTAGTAAATTACTAGAACCTAAAATAGGTGACAAGTCCAAAATTTCTGATTCATTTTTCCCAAACACTAAAAGGTTTTACTTAGCATTTCTGATACTAACTTTACTACAAATAGCCTCAGCAATATTTTAAGTCTCTCAACTGCCTGGCTCAAAGGGCCAATTCACTCAAAGAACACACTAGTCACTGTTGTGGTGTTCAAAAGAAGAAAACAGCATATTCTTTCTGTTGGCCGACTGTGTCATGGCTCAAGAGGGCCAAATCAAAAAGGAGTCCTGATTGGGCCTCTCAAGTGGACAATCTGGTCAAGGTGAGGCTGAAAAGCAGCTGACTGCTGGAGATGAATGGCCCCAACAGAAGGCAAAAGTAGGTTACATCACTTGGTTACATGCCAGCCCAAAGATGTCCACAGAGTGGGATTATGCCCACAATGGTCATTTATCTAATGTAATCCGCTGAGTGTGGATTACATTGGATAAATGTAAACTTTTAGCACCAACCTACACCTCAGCTGAGTGTTATTAGTCACCAGGTGGATCAGACAAGAGTGGAAATATTGCAACATAAAACCCGCCTCCCTACAAAAAATAACTTCAAACTTAGATCCTAATGGTCATCTTTGTAGACCAACAGGGGCATATTATTATCACTTGCCCAACCTTCAGCCCCAAATTCACAGCTGGAAGCAAAGGAGGATTCATATACTAGAACACATTTGGGGTACTCATTATGCAATTTTTAAAAGTGTATAAGGCAAAATCCTGTAAGGAAAAAGGCAATCTCTCAGTTGAACATCCTGCTGAATTCTTAACACATGGCTTGAGATTCATCTGCCAGAAAAGACCCAGATGACCATTGCCTCCTCCTCTCCCACTCTCAGCAGGGTGACTTTTTTTTTCCTATGACAGTCCAAGAGTACCCTCAAAGTAGCGTGTGGTGAGACTCTAGGAAAGGCAACAGAATTAAAAAGGAACATGATTTTCTATTTCCTTCTCCTTCTTCCTCTTATTTTGCCTACCTATTCTGAGCCTGGCCTCCACCTCTCTGACCTAGACTCTTCTCACTCTCCTCTTTGCTCACTAGACTCTGCTATTACTGCCTCCCTACAGCCCAGCCTCCTCCACCTCCCCTTTTTCCCTACTCCCTGGAACTTGCCAAACTCACTCTAGCCCAGTTTCTGCACTAGCTAGTCCCTAAACCTGGAAGGCTCCTCCCATACCTTTGCATGGCTGGCTCCTTTTTATTTAAAGCTCAGCTTACGTGTCACCTCCTCAGAAAGGTCTAGACCGAATCCCAGCCAGACACTTTCTATCACAACACTCTTATTTTCTTCAGCACTTATGGAAGTCCGATTTGCTAATTTATCTGTCCTCACCCCACAGTCCGAGGTAAGCGCCATGAGAGCGTGGACCTTACTGCTATGTTCACCTTTGTATGCCCACTGCCCGAAATACTGGCTAGCAATTAGTAGCCGGTCAATAAATGTTTGTTGAATGAATGAATGAATTTTGGACTTTTTATTCAATGATTCCCAATCAGCTAAGGTGAGAACAGCAGTCATTTTTTTCTTTTGTTGCGTTTCTGTGAAACATCTAAACATGCTGTTACTTGTACAATCAAAGCATTAAATATTCTGTTTTATCAGGCTTGAAAGCCCTGATGAGTAGGATGGAACCCGTTGTGATAATTCTTCTAGCAATATGCACATAAACTCAGTTACAGAGGAACAGGATTTACGGACACTTTCTATTCAAAGGATCCCTAAAATTTGGGCACCATCTCTTAAAGTTCTTTAGAAAACACAGTGCCAGACTCAACAGAGGATTTCCAAAGAAAATATCAACACCAAGCTAGGAATCATTACACTTCACTCTGAAATCTCTACAACAGGCTAAAGTAGCACTACTTTTTTTTTTTTTCCTTAAACCAACAGAACATCAACAAAGAGACCTTCTTTTCCGATCATTCTTTGCTTTCTTCAAATAATTTTTTTCTCAAATAATTTTTTCATAGCCGTTACTGATTTGTATTCTTCCTTAAAACAAAACTAAGCAAATCACATTGTCTCGTTTAAGACCACCTATACACAAAGAATAAACTAAATAAATAAGATGGGAATCAGCACAAGCCAAATGTGTTCACTGAAGACTTGTGTGCCAGACACGCAAATGGAGAAGATAAAAGAGCTATTGTCCAATTGGAGAAACAAAAAAGTAATATGGGGTTTTCTGTTCTCCAAAGTGCATCATGAAGTGTGGGTGGAGAGAAACACAGAAATCCAGAATTAGCCTAACATCAAATCACTTTGGAAAGAGTTGACAACATTTAAATTCCTCACACACAAAGTATTTAGAGCAAGAGACCTTGATTCCTAGGCTATGATGCCATTTAGGAATCCTTGCAAGGGCTTTGGAATTCCAGTATTCATAGAAGAAAACGCTCATCTTAATCGGGAGCGACCAGGCATTGAGAGGTACTCCCAAAGACACACAGCTTGTAACTGAAGTATTACAAAGCTTGCAGTTAAGATCTGGGATGGAGGTGGAACACCAAATTCAAAAGAGGTAACCAAGATACCAAGTGCAATAAAGAAAAAAAAAACAAACAACAGCAAAACCCACCACGATTACCACCTAGCCACGGAGAACTAAAGTGGAAAGGAGGGGTATGCAAGGGAGAGGATGGGGGGTGAGGGGGTAACGGAAAAACACAATACATTTGTCACCCTGTCCCACTTCCTATACAGGATACAGGCAAAGCTTCCAGCCCCATTACCTCAGGCACAGATGGTTATCGTTTATAGCAAAGGTGCATAGGAAGGCCTCCAGGTCTGAGCCCCTTAATTCCAGGGCTGTTAATGATTAAAGAGAAAGATGGGGGTGGGGAGGGAAATGAGGGCGGAGGGAGCTGGAGATTCACCCACCACCTCTCGCTTGGGCTCCTACCTCACGGCGCTTACAAGGGGCAGAGGACCAGAGTCTGCACTCCCTTCAGGGCAGCTCCGGCCCCCAGAACCCCAGGCCCTGGATTGAGGGGTGCTGGCGGTAGGGAGGAGGGACAGTAGGTAAGTTTTCTGAGCCCTGCGGCTGACACGCCACAGGCTCCCCTCACAGCCTCCTCTCTTCCAGCGGGACCAGTCCAGACAAGGCGCCGATTTCCACTCCTCCCCTTCCACCCCCCCCTTTCTCGAAGGTACCCAACCCCCGCCCCTTCATCTCCCAATGCCTCCCCTTTTCCTCAACCCCCCCGCCTCAAACTCACAGCTGCTCCAGAGGTTCCTCCAGTCAAACCCTTTCTGGAAACGACGGCGGCCCGGCGGGTCCAAAACACCTACCATCCCCGCTCGCGTTTCCAGGCTCCCCACCCCCGCCGCCGCCGCCCCCGCCGCCGCCGCCTCTTCTTCCACCACTGCCGCCGCCTCCTCTTCATCTGCGGCCCACCGGCGGGGGCCGCCCCGAAGCCCCGCCCTCTCCATCGCCTCCTGCATCATCACTTCCGGTAACCCCGCAAGCCGCCCGCTCCAGGACGCGGAATAGGAGGAGGGCGGGTAGGGAAAGAGTGGCAGTTTGCGTCACGACGTACGCAAAGACGTACGAAGCCGTCGCCAAGTAAGGGCAAAGACCTAGCGACGCGGAGGGAGAGCTAGGAGGAGATGGACTGGACCAATTTTGGGCTGGGATGGGGGGAGAGAGGAGAACTAAAGGGAGAAAAGGAAAATAAGGAAAGGATGAACTTGGATATATTGTGGCTGTACGGCGGAGCGTGGTCTAGAGTTTGAAGTTTAAGGAAGGCTCGAGCCTACCCTCGACCTGGGATGATGCTCCCACAGAGGTCCGTCCGGTGGTTTGGTACGGCCTGGCCCACCGGACCTGCCAGAGCTCAGTCGGCCGCAGCTCAGCTGGGCTCCCGGCGCCGCCTCCTCCCAGCCTGCGGTAGGCTGCCGGGCTTCTGTGGGTGGGGGAAGGCTGGACTGATGCAGCGTGAGTGTAGAGAATGGAGACGCTGACTCCTGGCGCGGGAGACTGGGGGAAGGGGTTGGCTCCGCAGGGGCAGGGATGGGGTGGGGTGGGCGGGGTGCGACGTTGCTAGGAGACGAGCCTGTGTGACCTCCCCCCCGCCCCCCCAGCCTCGCGAGGGCGGCTCGGTGTCACCGCCGCTGGCCTCGGCAACTTGCTAAGGGAAGCGGCTCGAGGACCAGGAAGGGGAGCCCTGGTTTGGGAACGCTGAAATGCTGGTTTGGGGCCCATCTGAGACTTCTCAATCCTTTGGATTCCCGAATGTAAATGGGAGATTAGTAGGGGCAAATCCGGGGGCGAGAGGCGTCCAGCTGAGGAAGGTTGACACAGACAAGTCCCCTACACGATAGTGAGATTTTCTAAGATAATGAGGACCAGCTTCTTAAATCCCTCGGTCCGCCAAAGGCGTTGCTCCGGAACTTTTTATTCGAGTCCGGGAGAAAGTTAAAAAGTAAATCAGTAAGATATCAGCAAGTGAGAAATGCCCCAAAGGTAGTAGTATCAGGTGAAGTGGTAGAAGATGGGGGGAGGGCCACTCTAAATCGGATAAGTCTGTTCAGAGGAGGCCGGGTTTACAGAAATCCGAGAAAAGAGGGAAGCTAGGGAATGAGCTTTCTAGGTGGAGAAATGAACCAACGAGAAGGGATCTGAAGAAGGAAATGGCGAGAAGGCCATGTGCTTGCAGTAGAAAGGAAAGAGCCAGAGCCAGAGCGGTCTGTGATGGAGAAGTGGCAGGGCCTGATCAAGCATAGCCTTTTAGCTCAAGGTGAGGGTTTAGCTGTTTTTTAAATGGAGGGTTTTAAGAAGGAGTGACCAGATCTGATTTACATTTTTAGAAAATCATTCTTGGCTACTGGATAGAGAAGGGTAGACGTAGTCAGACCTGCTAGGAGGCTGTTGCTGTAGGGCCAAGGGGGAGGTGACAGTAGTGTTGTATTCACGGTGGAAATGGAGAGAATTAAATTTGGAATGTACTCTGAAAGTCGAGCTTGCAGGACTTGCTGCCAAGTTGGATGTGAAGTGTATGGGAAAGGAAGGAACCCAGGATGACTCCGCAGAGAAAATAGTTTGGAAGGCACTACTATTATTTTGAACACACTAGTTTTGGTAAGTCTATTAATGGTCCAAGTAAAGATGCTGAGAAGTTCAATATACAAGTCAAGGGGAAACTGAGAGAGAATAAATGTAGCAGTTTATTCCTGGGCCACCTAAGGAGAGGGTGCAGATAAAGAGGAAGGCCTCTAAACCCCTTGGGGCTCTTTACACGTAGAGATGATCCAGAGAAGGAAAAGCCAGCAGAGGAGACTCTTCACACACACAAAGCCTCCAAGATAGAAGGAGGCCCCGTGATATCCTTGAATAATGGGACCCACCCTCATAATCCTCAAGACTCATCCTCAGAGGCCTGGCTCAGAGCTCTTTCCTCCTTTCCTCTGCCAGCTGTCAGTGCTTTTGGACTCCTGCTTAGGTGATTTGTGTTCATTATAGCAAACCTTACTTTGCTTATTAATTGTTTATAGGTCTGACTACCCTGTGAACTATTTCTTCTCTGTGCCCTGCTGACTCCTATTTCAGAGCCTTGCCCATGAACCCAACATATAGGAACACTGTGTCCATAATGTATCAACCATGGACTTCAACAGCTTCTGACAAAGGGGCATTTGTCCCCGCTGTTGCTGCCACCTCCACCACTAGATATGGTTGATTTCATAAACTCTAGAAAGGATATCAGAAGAATAATCAGAAGGTCTGGGTTTCAGTCTTGCATCTCTACTGACCAACAGAATGGCCTTGAATAAGACCGTTTTCTTTGAGCTAGGGGTTGGCCTAGATTACAGATTACAAACTGGCAAGACAGATATTGCCTACAAATGTAGTTTGGCCCACAGATTGATTTAAATTACTTTTTAAAATTTACTTGCCAAATTTAAAAATCTGATTTTCGGCTTCATTTGAAAAATGAGACAATCTGGCAACACCAACTTGAGGTTCCTACAGAGCAACAGTCAGCTGGAGCCAATGAGATTCTTCTCCCTTCTTCTACCAGCCTAACCCCTGTGGGCATTTGATTTGCAATTTTTTGGTCTAGAGCTCTGCTGTCCATATGTAGCCACAAGCAACATGTAGCTATTTAAATTTAAATGAAATAAAATTTTAAAGGCAGTTCCTCAGATGTACTAACCGTATTTCAGGTGCCCAGTGCCAGTGGCTACCCTGTTGGACAGCGAAGATATAGAATATTTCCATCATTGAAGAACATTCTGTTGGTCATTGTTGGACTGGAGAAACTCGAAGGTACTCTGGTTGCTAATCATTCTGCGCACTAAAGATGGACAGTCAGTACTCCTACTCTAAAGGAACTTTGTCTAGTAAAGAGCTCCCGTGCTTCTGCAGGTGGGGAAAGTTGCTTATTCAATAGGTGGAGGGTACTTGGAAACTGTCGTGAAGGCGGAGACCCCCGGTGCAGGGTGAGGGTTATATATCAGGTGGTTGGATCAAGGGTTAGGTGTATCTAATGTTATAACCAGAGCCCTTTTGTCTGTTTCTTAATCCAGTTTCTTAGGAAATTATCACAAAGAAGGGGTTTGAATGTTTTAATTTAAATGTTTTGTGTTCTCTTGACTTCCCTAGTTCCTATGAAGGGTTCACATCCTGAGTAGTTACGAACGAATGACTGGGGTTGATCTTCAAGCATTGACCAAGTTTTCACCCATTGCCAGCACATACACACAACACTCCAAACACACACCTCCTACTTCTGGTAACTTGTTCTCACTACCTCTTATTGACCCTTCCCTTGTCTTTGTCTCTTAAAATATGATGGTAAGGAAACAGTTGCTTCCATTTCTTTTGAATTGAGAGACTGAAACTTGGTTTCCATTTGGAGTTTCTATCCCTGAGGGGGCAAATTGCTGTACATCTCTTGGATACAAGAGCCTGATTGGAGTTCCCCTTACAAGTGTGATCTTGTATGTGCTCCTGTGCTGATATATTGAGGATGAATATATGTGCCTTACATGATCTTATTTGGGATAGTTTAGAAATCTTTCAGACATAAATATTTTTGGTTTTTCCCTGTCTTCTGAAGATTTCCCATGTTACGGGGCCTAACCTAATTTATTTTCCTTTAGATAAAAATATGATATACCCTTTCCTCCCTGACCCGTATCTCTGACATACCATATTGTCAATTTCTGTGTAAAAAGATGCTGTTTCAGAGAATAGCCGCCGTATGATTAAGTACACCACACAAGCATATCCTGAGATATACAAAACAGTGTGTGGCATTACACTTCCCCTTTTGGATTCTAGTAACCAAAAACTGAATCCAGGTCAGGAAACAAGTCCATGGGGCGTGTGTGGGGTGGGGAGATGGGGGCACTTGGTTTAGCTTGAAGGTTATTCAATTTAGGTAAGATGATACAGTGTAGGATATGGGAATGCATCAGAAAGTAAGGAAGGATAACGGATCTAGGAGAAAAGTGCACCGAAGGATAAGCAAGGAGTAAGAGATAAAGGAAGAAAAATAGGAAGGGAAGCTTGCTCATGCCCTTGGTGTTGGCACCTGCATTGTATTTCCAGTAAGAAGTCTGCTCTGTGGTCTGAAGATAAGCGATGCCTCGGGCAGGGTTATTTACTCATACTGAAGAACAATAGCTCTTTACTGTGCAGGGATTATTAATGATCAGAGGGAAACAGCTTTAGGAAAATCCATTACTGCCACAAAGCGATAATTTCACCAGCAGGCAGCAAAGTTTAGCAGAGATAAAAGAGGCCTCACTGTTCCTCCTTTATTTCCTCCTTTTCAGGTAACATTTGCCTTTGTTAACTTCCAATGCTAAGTGATTTACATGGATTATTATGAACAATCCGTAAAACAACTCTTTGAAGAAGGTTCTGTTGTTTCCCCATTTTAAGAAGCCGAGGCTCAGGAAGATTAATATCTTGCCTGATGTGGTGAAGTCAGGATTCAAACCCAGATCATTCCAGAGCCCATTAGTTCATTGTTTGTATTATATCTCCTGTCCTTTACATCTGTGGAAAAATTTTGAATGCCTAAAATCAAGGTAGTCATTCTCTATTCTGCTATCTGGGGTAAGAAAATCTGTTTGCTTTGACATTATAAGAATGCTTCAGTTCCCTGGAGGTTTTCCAAATGACAAAAGCTTTAAATTATCATTTTTTAGGTTGGTTTTGAACCCTCATCACTTGGTTGCAATGGACCTTATTCCCCCAAAGGATTGTTTTTAAGAAAAAAAATATCAAAAACTCATTTTTCTATATGTTTGATTCTAAGCTTCCTGGAAATATAGTATATCATTTCAGTCCTGTGGACAAACCCTAAGTGGCCTTAAGAGAACTTAAGAGCGAGGGTTATGTAACAGCTGTGTATACTGCCCTAGATGGAAGTGAGAAGACTGCCTCGCTAAATAACACTTAATCTTCAATTCTCACCCTGACACCCACAGTGCCACTCTTGAAAACATCATTGTGAGGGTTAATTAGTAATTTTTAATGCTCTAGGGTCTTCTGTTGCGAAACCTGATGCAAATACCACTGCATATATCTCAGGATGAGAATGGTAATTACTGGTGATTATTCTGTGTGGGTAAATTTTTTCTTCTAACAAATGTATTTCAAGCTCCAACTCTGGGCCAGGCCTAGGAGTGTAATGGATGAGACAGGGTCCCAACCTGCTTCTCTCTCTCCCTCCCAAAACACACACAGTGGAGGAAGAACCATAAGTCAACAGAAAATTACAGTAGAGTAGAATGAACATTATGATAGGGGTATACACCAGAGCAGGGACGCTGACCCAGTGTGAAGAAGGCACCCCGTGAAAAGTGATGAAAGCCAAAGGATGAGAGTCAGCAGTTAAGCAAAAAAAGAATATTTCAGTTGTATAGGTTGGGGCCTTCCATTTGGCAAAAAGAAGGAGTCCCAGATCTAAGAAGATAGGGCAGCAGGACACGGGATAGGTCACCACTGGTACACGGTGAACACATACAATGGATTTCACTGGGTGAGTTTCATTATCACCCTCCCCCAAAATCATAAAGTAGTTGGGAGAGAAATTTGACTACATTATATTCATTGGTTATGATTTTATAAATTTACACCTAAGGACAGATCTTGAAAGAATGGAGTCGCCTTCCACCTGGGGTTTGAAAGTCAGTTAATTTCCCTTGCCTTTTCTGTCCCTTGTTTGTACTGCAACACTTTTTCTTCAGTAGAAGGCAAAGCCTCATGGGAGTGCAACATTTGGAATTTTGACATTCCTGAGACCAGAGTCATACTTCTATAAATTTCATCTGAGGAAAGGGAATTTTCATCTCTGCTTTTAAACTTCTAAGTGTTCATGCAGTGATGCTCTTTCCAAAGGTGAAAGAAACTGTTCCAAAGGTGGGGAAAAGGGTGAAGTGGATAAAGCCCCTGGTCCTGGCAAATCTTCCTGTAGGTCTCCTGCAAAACTAGATCTAGACATGCCAAGTATATAGACCCTTTCACTGTATTTTCATTCTCCACAGCAAGTGGAAGAGTGAGTGGGTGGTGCTTTTTTTTTTTTTCCCTAGGAAATTGATCACTGCCTGTTTGGAGTCCCCATTACTGACTCCAAAATAAAAACAGGGAAAAGCTTTCAGTCAGGGAAATAATCATTCAGCTTTTTTGGCTCTTAATCCCAGTTCTCCTGTCAGTTAAGTAGCATTAGGCAAGACTCTTCACCATCTGCAAGACTGGTAGAATCACAAGTACTTATGATACAGTTTGAAATCCAGCATGTTTTTAAAAATGTAAATCAGACCATGATACTCTTACTTGCTTAAAACCTACCAATGTCTTCCTTTTGCTCTTAGACTACAAATCAAACTCCTTTCCAAGGCCTACTCTCTCAGCCTGTGCTGGATCCTGTCCACCTGTGGTCCCACTTCCCCCATAAGCTCTCAACTGTATTAACACTGAGGTTGGTTCCCACCTCATAGCCTTTGTTCCTGCTGTTCTTTCTTCCTGCATCACCTTCCCCTGAACTCTTCCCATTAATAGGTTCCTGAACACCATTCAAGACTCAGCTCAAATGTCACTGACCACCCAAAATAAAATAACCCCCACCTCTGCTCATTCATATCATATTACTGTTTCATTCCTTGAGAGCACATATAACCAAAATTGTACAAAAATTTTTCTTGTATATCATCTGCCTCTGCCACTAGGATATAAGCTCTAGGAGGACAGGGACCGTGGCTGCATGTTTATCACTGTATGCCTAGCCTGGCACATGGGCACTGAATAAATGTTGGATGGATGGATAGATGCTTGGGAGGAAAGAGTAAGACCTGCAGGGTAGTAGCACTGTAATGAGTGCTGGTATCTCTTATGTGATGTCAGCTCCTTTGGAGTGTCAGGGACAGGGTTGCTGCAGGGAACAGAAGAGCACAGCAGTCCAGTTAAGTGCACAGCCTCCTCTAAAGGTGCTGGTGTGTAACATCATTACTGAGGAAGGACAGTTGCAGGGGAGGGGCAGATGGTATATGGAAAACCTTATAAAAGGGTAATTGCAATTCAATCAGGGTGCAGAAAGATTGGTCTTTTGCTCTTTGTAGGAAAGGAATAGAATTTCGTTCCCATTGTCACAACTGGCTAAGCTCTTTAAAGCAATCAGCAGACATTCAACCACATTTACTGAGATTGAGCAGCCTATTTAGTGATTAAAAGTTGGGGCTCTGACTCCACACTATCTGGTTTTGAATCCTGGCTCCACCTCTTCCTCGCCATGTGACCTTGCTCAAGTTACTTAACCTCTTTTGGCATCAGGTACCTCCTTTGTAAAACAGGATAATGTAGTATTTACCTTATAGAACTGTGCCGATTATGGGAGTTAATATATGTATGTAAAGTACCTAGGAAGCCTAGCACAGAGGAAGTGCAAGATAAATGTAGCTGTTACTGTTATTATTATCATTCTTATCCTTATTATTATTCCTTTAATGAGCAAAATGCGGTCCCTGCCCTCCAGGAATTCAGAGACTCTGGGAAGAAAAAGACAGTGAAACTGCAAAAGAACAATAGCTGGATGTGATAGAAGCAGAGAAAAAGGTGCTCCAGAAAAGCCTGAGAATAAACTGGTGTCTACAAGTTGAGGTGGCCAGCAGAAGACAGGCATTCTAAGTGAAAGTTTCAGCAGAACAAACACCACAGCAGGGTGCCTTATAGCTACAGTTCCCGGACTCAGGTTTTTGGGGACTCCACATCACAATTTCTGCTATTATTTACCTATGTTTTTTTGTTTTGTTTTGTTT